AAAAGGATACTGATCTCCATTTTAGACCAGGTTCTTCTGTTATATGTTCTTATAGAATCACATATTTTTCTTCATAATTGACCATAGTTTGGGAAAATCTATTTCACTGTACATTAATATCCCCCCCCACCAGACCTGTGGCAGATGAGCATGGATCTTCTGTGTATTTACTCAATGTGTGTCCTAAGGACGTAATACAGCACTCAGCAGTAGATGCTCACTATTTCGAACAATGGAAAAGGTGTTTTAAACAGCAAGTGAGACTCTGATAATCAACCAGTTGTATGGAGAAAAGGTAAAATGTGGAATCCTTCATTTATTCCCCATACTAAAATGAATTATAGATTGGTGAAGTATATTTTTAAAAGGCATAGAATGCTCCAGATGAACATTGATATAATGTTTATGATGGAGAAAGACTAGCATAGCAGAGAGAAAAAAGATAGAAGGAAGGAAAGAAAGAAGAAAGGAAGGAAGGAAACAGAGAGAGAAAGTGGGACAAAGAGGAGAAAAATAAGGGGGGAGAAGAAATAGCTTAAGGATATTTTGCATTCATTTAAAATTCTATATATTGAAACTCATCAGCAGTAAATTACCTAATGCATGGGTAAACATGGAAAGAAGATTTTAATAAATGACAGCATATTGAAATCTTTTAAAGTTAGGATTATAAATCAGTAAATAAATCTGAAAAACATAATGAAAAGACACCGAAGTCATGAACAATCTGAAATAGAAAAAATGTGAATAAATAACAAACATGAAAACATTATATTAATGATCAAATAAATATACATAAAAGAAAAAACAGCATTTTAAAATAATCATCTTGGTAAAGATGAAATATATATATATATAAAATGCTTGATGTTGTTGCAGAAAAAATGGACATTCTTAGAGCACTCTTGTGAGTCAAATTGCCAAACCTTTCTAAGATATTCATTTATTTCAACCATCATATATTCAGTCCTTCATTGGTGTCAAGAACTACAGATACAACGATGACAAGGACACAAAAACTTTGCCCACACAATAAATAACAGAAAGACAACAAACAAGCTAACGACCTAAAAATATTTTATGAAAATAAATGACATTGAAAACACAAAGTAAATCAGGAAAGGAATATGGTGCTAGTAGTAATTAATGTTTATATGATATGATTCTGGATTTTCACACACTTAACTCATTCCTCAAAGCAGCACTTAAGGCAGTTACTGTTCCTATTCCAATTTTAAAGATGAAAGGGCAAGTCTCAAATCATGGTTGGGATGTGGCAAAGTCATAACATGTAACCAAAATGTTTATACCCCCATAATTTCCTGAAATAAAAAAAAAAAAAAAGATGAGAAAAACAAGGCACAGATATGTTATGTGACCAAGCTGTTATAAAACATAATGGCAGGACCAGATTTGGACCCAGATAGTCTGGCTCTGGTGTTCTCACACGTCACCACCATGGAAGTGTCCGGAGGCGAGAGAGCAGGGCATAGCAATACCTGGGAAAAAGGCCATCCAGAGAGAGGAAACAAGTGCAAACGCTTCAGCCTGGAGTGCCCTGCAGTGTCTGAGGTCAGAGTGGATAGAATGGTGGATTTAAGATAGGCATTAAGGGATTAAGAATCAGAAAGTTAACAGGGGACAGGTCATGCCAGACTTTATGGACCCTAGTTAGGACTTTGGATTTTACTCTGGATGAACTGGGGCACCCATTGCAGGATTCTGTGCAAAGGAGTGAGATCACCTAACTTATTATTAAAAATAATTATTACAGCTACTGTGTTAACAATTCGACTATGGGGGCAAAGGATGGAAACAGGGAACTGCATCGAAAAATATTTGTATTAGAAAGGAGTGCAGACAAGACCACAGAGTAGCAGTGCAGTTGGTAAGAAGTATTTGAGTTTTGGATATATTGAAAGTAGCACCAGCCAGAATTGCTACCAGAGTGACTGTGGAATATGAGCAAGAGGAGGCAAGCTTCACTCCAAGGATTTTGCCTGAAGCAACTATGAAATTTCCATGCACTGAGATAGGGAGAATTGGAAAGGAGCTGGTTTGAGATGGGTTATCAGGATTCAGTTTGGACACTAAATTTGTGATGCATAATACACATCCACATAAAGGTGTCAAGTAGGATGCAGAATATGGGAGTCTGGAGTTCACAGGATTGTACTGAGGTGAGGAGATACATTGGGAAATAAACACACATACACAGACACGCGCAGAGCAGTATATCCTCAACTAACGTCAACAATAGGTTCTTGGAATTGCAACTTTAAGAGAAATGATGTAGAGTGAAACCAATTTTACCATAGGGCTAATTGATAAAAATAAGAGTTAACGTCCTATGGCATATTTCTGCCCACAAAAACATCACCAAACTTCTAAATAAATACCAAAACATTTCTAATATTAGACATTGAAATAAATGTGTATGTATATAGCACTCTCTCTCTCTTTATATATATATATATGTGTATGTGTATATATGTATGTGTGTGTGTGTATACATGCACACACATACAGTTGAGAAAGATTAATAACAAGCAAGGCCCAGTTCAGAGTCTTGGGTGACCCTAGCCTATTATGGCAAATCAGAGCTTAAGGCCAGAATTAGCCCTGGACAGGATGCCATCCCATCTCAGGTGCGCACACACACACACACACACACACACACACACACACACACACACACACAGTACTCTGTGTACTCTGATAGGTGTTAGAATGGATTTAATAACCAAGGACATACCAACGTGTTAATAATGAAAAAAAATGAGGCCATGCTGATTGTGTGTTCCATGGTTAGACATGAACACTTTCCTGTCTTGATGTGATTAACCTTTTTACTCTGACATTCATTCTTGCTTTCATATCACTGATAGGCTCATTATGCAGACCCAGGCATGATCAAAAGTCAAAATTTAAGCTCTGATATCTTAGCAAAATAAGACAAAGTTAGCTGTTGCAATTTTATGGTCTTGAAATCAAAGCTCAGTTGTATCATGTGCTGGCTAAGTGACACTGGGTGGTGTCTCTGACTTCTCTCAAATGGACTCCTCAAAACCACCACTGAGTGGTGGGCAAAAGATGCAAAGTTGCTTTAATACTATTAACTTCTGGGGGAGTGTTTCTCATAAAGCTCAGAAACTCAAAGCTGGCTCTGTCACAGCAAATAGTTCATCGAACAATATGGGAGGCACATTGTACATCTGAGTTTCCCAAGCTCCTTCTGAACACTCTCGGGGAGGACCCTTCTTTGATCTTTCTTAGCTTCTGGTAACCCCAGGGCATCCTTGGCTTGTGGCAGCATAACTCCAATCCCTGTCTCCTTCTTTACATGGCCATCTGCTATGGTTCGAATGTCACCTCCAAAACTCATGCTGAAATTTAATTGCCATATTGACAGCATTAAAAAGTGGGACAATTAAGAGGTTATTAGGCCTTAAGGGCTCTGCCTTCATAAGGGAATTAACACTCTTATGAGAGTGGGTTCCTGATAAAAATGAATTCAAACCCTTACTGCTCTCTCTTGGTCTTTCACCTTCTGCCACATTACGATGCAGCAGGAAGGCCCTTGCAAAATACAAGCACGTTGACCTTGGACTTCTCAGCCTCCGGAATTATAAGAAATAAATTGTTGTTTTTTATAAATTACCCAGTCTCTGGTACACTCTTATAGAAACCATGCAAACCATGGTAAATTCACATGAATAACAACTCTGTCTGTTTGACCTAATCCACCGTACTAGAGCCATTACTGCAACTAAACGCAACCTCTCAGAGTCAACCTGTACATACTAAATCGTGTACCCCTGTAATAGGATCAGCACTTGTTAGAGAATGAACTCACTTATCAGGAATCACTTCTACCTGCCATTTGCCTTTAAGCACATAAGTTAGCAAGAATCACCTACTATAGACAAATTTCAAATTTGCCTGTAGCAAGAATAGAATGTAGAACAATTCAGGTAAATTAAACAGTGAACTTTTAAGTATTTTTAACCAGGCCCAAGTGGATACCATTTAGAACTCTATTTATCACATTCGAATGCATGCCCAGTACAACAACATTTGTTTGAACAGTGATTCTTGTCTGGTTGATCAACACGAGGCACAAAAATTTTGATTTAAGCTATTATACACAGAGTCAAAGAGTTTAATTTTAGCGAGAAGAAGCTGAAAGCAAACAAGTTTCAAGTCATATAACAATCAATGAATTGATGAGACAATACGCTATCGCCAAAGTGCAGACTTTAAGTATCAGAAAATTTATACCAGTTTGTATTTTGGCAGGAAAATCTTCTGTCAGAGATAGTTCACCCTCTTAACGTAAAATATATATAATATATATTTATATTATATATATATATACACACCATAATTTAAACCAAGAAATACTCAGGGTAGGAAAACAGACTATTGGGATATAAACATTATTAACTATTGAATAATGCACACTGATGAAAAACAGGATTGTATTAAGACATAAGTTGAAGATTCTAAATACAATTGCATTTTCAAAACTTTTGAACACTTTTTAGGTAAAGCGGATTTATCAACATTCTGTGGTCATGAAAAGGAAACGAATTTTTTACTTTTTATGAGAAATTATATATTTCACAAGAAATCTAGGTTGAGTAACATGTATGTATAGAAAATACCCTAGAAGATAATGTTCAGTCTAACAAGGATATATTTACATTACCATTTATTTATCTAAACTTATTTGTGAGTTTCTGCAATGACTGCACGTAGTACAATTTTACATACACTGTGAATGACTCCCTGTGAGTTTTCATTATATGGTTGTACACGTAGGAGAAACCATGCTTGGTATTTAGAGTCCATTGCTGAGGTAAAAGCAACCTTCTGTTACGTAGGACCTCTCAGCGTATTTAAGAGTTGCCTTTAGAACTAGAACTTGTGTGCTAGGATGTTTATGCGTGGTCATTTGTAATAGAAACCAACATACCACAAAGATATCTATTGCAGTTTTACTGGCCCAAGTTTGCCTTTGTGATTGCTTTGCTGACGGCCTCTTTCACGTCCTTGTTTCTCAGACTATAGATCATGGGATTCAGCATGGGAATCACTGTGGTATAAAACACGGCCACCATTTTTCCCTGCTCCACAGACTCCTCAGTGGGCCGCCTCAGATACATGAATATGAGGGTCCCGTAAAACATGGAAACAGCTGTCAAGTGGGACCCGCAGGTGGAAAAGGCTTTCCTCCTCCCATCAGCAGAGCGCATGCGCAGCACAGCCACTACGATGAGGGTGTAGGAGATGAGGACCACTGAGAGGGAATATGTGAAGTTAATTCCGGCAATAACAATCATTGTGTATTCCTTGATGTGCACTCCCCCACAGGCAATCTTGATGAGAGGAGGGTCTGCGCAATAGAAGTGGTTGATTTCCAAGTCTCCACAGAAGTACAAGCCGTAAGTCCATAGTGTGCATATGAGACTAACCGAGAATCCATAGACATAAGGCACAGAGATGAGCCGCACACACACAATCCTGGACATTTTACTGCCATAAAGCAAAGGGTTGCAGATGGCCATGTAGCGATCAAAGGCCATCACTGCCAAAATATAGACCTCCACATGCACAAGGGCAATGAAAAAGTAGCACTGCACCAAACACCCCACATAGGAGATGGTTTTTGTCTTAGATATTAAGTTTTCCAGCATTTTAGGGGTGACATTGGAGGAGAACCACACATCTACAAAAGACAAATGACTCAGGAAAAAGTACATAGGGCTCTGAAGCTGGGGACTGATGCTGATCAAAATGATCATACCAATATTTCCTAACAGAGTGATCATGTAAACTACCAGGAACACCACGAAAAAGAGAATTCGTAGCTCCTGCTGACAGGTCAGCCCCAGAAGAATAAATTCTGTCACATCCGTGAAATTAGGCATTGCTTTAACATGGACTGAGTCTGGTTGCCTATGGGGAAATTTAAAAAATAACAAAAACAAACAGACAAAAAACATGTGAATTGATTTGTTTTAGTCTTGAAATTTTGATTTGCGTTTATACTTTTACAATTCAAATAATTTAAAAAACATGGTAGATTTTGCAAAATGTCTAATATGGCGATAAAAATACTATCTGTAAAATGAATCAGGTACATAATATAATACTCACTGAAGCTCTGACTCGGGTAGGGCAAAGGCAATATGTGTAACCTAAACGTTTGTACCCCCACAATATGTTGAAATAAAAAAAAAAATAAAATTTACTTTGCTCCTCCTCCACGGTAGAAGAAGCTTATCTCTTCCATATAATTCATCCTTGATGGACTGCTTAGAGCTGTTTGTGGCCCATAGCAGGTTTGACCACAGGGGTACTAGACCATTGCTTCTCCCTGCTCCTCCAGGTCAGGTGACCTCATTGACAGAGGATCAGCAGACAGTGACTTCTGGGAGAAAACCCATTTATTAGCTATATGTGTATCATCCATCAAAACAATCAAGCAGTTTGAATGTTTAACTTACAAATAAGAAAGCAAATTCATTCTCTATTAACATTTCAGGAATTTCCTATGAAGAAAAACAGTGAAGGTACAAATTACTGGACTAATCATTCCAACTGACTCAAAATCTCCAACTCCATTCATATATATTTTAAAACAATATTGTGAAAACCAGCGGTCTTTATTGGCAAAGGAGAGTAAAAGAACAACAAAATGAGGAAAAAGAGTTTTGTAAATCCTATTATAACAAGCTCCTTCTTAAAAACTTTTGAAGAAGCTATGGATAGAAATACAAAAATTTTCCAGTAATATAATTCCAAACAACAAAATACTTGATAACAAATGTCTATGAATAAAGTATTAGTTTTCTCCTCAAAATGTGGAATAAAATTTAAAGATTTGACTGCATCAATCTATACTGCAAAGAGTGCAGAACTTGCAGACCTACCTTTAGTACAGGAGAACAGCAAACGGCAATTTCTCACTATTTATTATATAATAATGTCTTGAACATTAGGAGCTTTGGGACCATCTCTCTAAGGAACTATCCAAGTTATTATGGAAGAAATAATAATTAAAATGTTAGAACTATCTCAGGGGTAAAAGAAGTTAAGGAGTGTTGATGGGAAGAATAATTCTTAAATAAAAGTCAGATCAAAATTCTTGATCATGGTATAGTCTCTGTCCCAATTTCACATAGGTTCTGTCCCCTTTTATTGACACATTGACAATTATGCATCTCAGCAAATATGGTTGGTTTGTGTCATGTAGAATTTAAGTCACTTTATTATTGTACAAATATTCCATTATAAAACACAACATCTGTTATGATAGATGATCACAGAAATGCATATATTATCTGACAGTTTCAGATATCAGATGCCTCAAAGAATAAATCGCTTGGCAGTGTCTGGAAGAATGACCAAAAGTAGAGGTCATTGACGAAATGGGAGATTAACCTTGAAATCAGACAGGTCTGGAATTATACCTTTACAATACCACTTTAACTAAGTGACCTTAGACAAGTAACACAATGCTGAGCCTCAGTGTCCTCATCTGGGAAATAGGGAAACTATTATCTTACACTGTGGTTGAGAAGATCTCAGATAATGTAGGGATAACACTCTTCCCCATGCCTGTTGCATATGAAGCATACAGAAAATTGACACATGTACATTTTCACCTCTAAATAGTTTACAAGTATTATCCTACCACCTCAGTAGAATTATGACTAATATTATCCTTATTTTGAAGAATAAAAATATGCATATGTGAAATAAGTATGAGTTTAAGTTTTTTGACCAAGTTTAAATACCATAAAGCCAAAGAACATGGATGCCAACCAAGATTGTTTACACTCTAAAATATATACTTCCTCCATTTAGTCTAGAAGATTATGGGCAGAGTTGTGCTCAGGGAATTTTTTTCTGCAACCTTCAGTGCCTAGAATCCTGTTTCTTTTCACCTGTTTTAAAGCTAGTCCATTATATGAACTTGATACTAGGGAATTTTGACATAGTATACAATATCTCAAGAAAACATAAATTGGAAAAGAAGAAATTATGTGTGTGTGTGTGTATGTGTGTGTGTGTCAGAAAGAGAGAGAGAGAAAGAGAGAGAGATAGGGACAGTGAGAAATACAGAAAAGAAACAGAGACAGAGGAAGGTAACTAGGCTTTATGGTGTGATGTTAGAAATGCATAAATATGATTAATCTGACAGGTGTAGAAATAGATGTAACAACACCATTTATTTTATTTTTTTATTTTTTATTTTTTTTATTTTGGCATATTACTGGGGTACAAATGTTTAGGTTCCATATATTGCCTTTGCCCCACCCAAGTCAGAGCTTCGAGCATGTCCATCCCCCAGAGGGTGCACACTGCACCCATTAGATGTGTATATACATCCCCTTCTCCCCCCTCCCACCTGCCCAACACCTGATGAATGTTATTACTATATGTGCACCTAAGTGCTGATCGGTTAATACCAATTTCATGGTAAGTACATGTGGTGATTGTTTTTCCATTCTTGTGATACTTCGCTTAGTAGAATGGGTTCCAGCTCCATCCAGGATGATACAAGACATGCTAGATCACCATTGTTTTTTGTGGCTGAGTAGTACTCCATGGTATACATACACCACATTTTATTAACCACTCATGTATTGATGGGCACTTGGATTGTTTCCACATCTTTTCAATTGTGAATTGTGCTGCTATAAATATTCTAGAGCAGATGTCCTTTTTATAGAATGCATATACTTCATGAAATGAGGTACCAGAGAGATATAAAATTACGTTAATATTATTATGATGCAAAACGTTATTGCTAACAACAAATAGTCCATCCCAAATATTTGATTCCTTTCAAATGCAAAAATTAACTAGAATATGTAACTACCATATCTTAGACACAGATTTGCCAAATATTCCACAAGAATATAAATTTAACTTATTAAGTGGAATCTGGAGAGCCCTGCATTTACAATGAAACATCCCTCCACTAATTCTCCCACTCAGTCATACTGAAGACACTGCCAGGTGACCATGCATAGTTGGACCAGTGACAAGAGTTAAAGTTTGGAAGATACTAGAATTTGTAAAAGAGAGGCACTTACCATGTTGTGTCTCTTAAGAAACATGAGAAAACTAAAAAATAATAAAAACAATAACATTACTGTCTTCAAGGTAGTGTCTCTGAATAGACCTAACCCCACAGAATGAAAGAAGTATTAAACAATAAACAATCTCATCACCATTAGGGAAATCACTATTTTTATTTCTTAACTCTAGAAATTAAATTAATTATTTTATTTTTTTCTGCCCCAATTTTATCTAAATGAGAAGATAAATATTTCCTAAATCCATCCATGGAATTTTTGAATAAGGAAGTCTTTTGGTTCTAGTTAAATATTTGAGCAATTTCAGTTGGTGCAATTAGAAACTTTGGCACACATGACCTTTTCAATTCATTTATTCATGTAAATTAATCTTCACTATTTACATAACCAGGAATGGGTCAATCTACTTTATTTTTACCAGTTTGCATCATTTTTCTTTTCCTTTTCAACCCCCAAAACACCTTTAGTTTAGTATTCATATGTAATGTTCCTGGCTAATACCCTGTCTCCAAATAAGTTATAGAAGACATTAACTCAATTTTATTTTATTTTGTTAAACATGTTCTGTTGATCACTTTGCTCATGGCTTCTTTTACATCCTTGTTCCTTAGACTGTAGATCATTGGATTCAACATGGGGATCACTGTGGTATAGAATACAGCCACCATCTTCCCCTGTTCCACGGACTCATCTGTGGGACGTCGGAGATACATGAAGATCAGAGTACCGTAAAATATGATGACAGCTGTCAGATGGGACCCACAGGTGGAAAAGGCCTTCTGTCTCCCTTCTGCTGAGCGCATTCGTAGAATGGCGATGAGAATGAATAAATACGAGATGATAATTACAGTCAGGGAATACGTGAAGTTAATGCCAGCCAGTATGAGCATAGTATATTCTTTTGCAAAGGTCCCAGCACAGGCCATCTTGATGAGAGGTGGGTCTGCGCAGTAGAAGTGGTTGATCTCAATTTTCCCACAGAAGTACAAGCCATAAGTCCATAATGTTGCTGCCAGACTAGTCAGAAAACCATATATGTAAGGGAAAGAAATGAGTCGTATACAGACGACCCTTGACATTTTGCTGCCATAGAGCAGAGGGTTCCCAATTGCCATGTATCTGTCAAAGGCCATCACAGCAAGAATAAAAATTTCTACATGGACAAGAGCAATGAAAAAGAAACACTGTAGTAAACATCCAGTGTAAGAAATCGTTTTTGTCTCTGATAACAAGTTTTCCAACATTTTAGGGGTGACATTGGAAGAAAACCACACATCGACAAATGACAAATGACTGAGGAAAAAGTACATGGGGCTGTTGAGCTGTGGACTAACCTTAATTAACATGATCACGCCAATATTGCCCACCATGGTGATAATGTAGACCAGAAGAAAAATGATGAAGAAGAGAACTTGCCATTCACGACGATCGGTTAGTCCCACAAGAACAAACTCCGTAACATCGGTGAAATTGAGCATTTTCTGAATTTTAAGCCAATCTGAGTTAGAAATCTCTGTGACAACTGAAATGAAATAAATGAAAAATTGAAGAGCTACACATTTATTAATTTATGTCTTTATCCATACCCCCATCCATTGTTTCCTTTATTAAATATTTACGATCACATTTTGCCATTCTTTTCAGAAAATCTTTTCTGAGCCCCTGTTATCTGACAGGCTCTCTGAGGTTACTATTAATACGATGAGTAAATATATCCTATTATATAACAGTTATACAAAGTTTAGTGATTGAAATATGCTTGTATTAAGTATTGTGAATAATCACACTCCCAAGATTACTTCTTAAACATCCTGTGTTTC